CGCATCCTCAAGCAGTTGCCCGCCTCGGTCGGGGAGTCGATCTTCGGGAAGGCCAAGGGCAGGAGTCGGACCATCGGATTCATGCTCTCGCCCACGCCCCTGTCTGATCCCACCTTCGTTGCCAACTCTGATCCGCTCGCCTCCTGGGCGGCTGCGGTCAGAGATAGATGGGCCCCCGAGAGGGACATGGCCTTGGCATTCGAGTCGCTTAGTAAGGAAGGAGGGCCCGCCTGGCAGCAGGTCAATGGGCCCACAGGGGCAATGCTAGCTACGCTTCGCAGGCTCGGCTGGACCCCGCTCCGCTGGGACCGTTGGGAGATGTCAGCTGGGCCGGTGGTTGACTTGCAGGAGTACGGGGCCCGGGCGGCCAAGGCTCTGGTGGATGCGGGGACCAAGGATGCATTTCTTCGGGATCTGAGCCTCCAAGGCGAGGCGTTAGGCGCTGGCGATGTGCCCCTGTGCCCGTGCCTTGGATCGCTCCGCGGGGTGTGCCAAGGTTTCCGCGTGTCTGGCAAGGCCCTGGAGGCCTCTCAAGCCGCCGCTGTGGCGTCGGGAGGCATGGCTAGCCAGGTTGACCTCTTCCTGGACCGCCGTTCGATCTCGACGGAGCGCAGGCCGCGCGGGCACCCGCGGGGCTCCAAGCAGCATAGGTTTTACCATTGCCTTGCCACGCACGGGCTCAGGCAGAATATGGGGGTCGACCGTTTGGTCCGAGCTGGTGCTCGTGTGGTTTCGGCTGAGCGGCGCCTGTTCTACAATAGAGGCCCCCATGACGCCCCCCATATTAGGTTATCTCCAGGGCCCCTGGCGCCGGAGCCGTGGAGGTGGCATGTCTTCCCGAGGTCTGGCCAGCTGATCGACGCGATCTGCTTGGACGGCTGGGCTCTTGACCCCACTCTGCCGCGGTGCTCTCGAGCTGGTTGGTCCGCGGCTTCTGCGACTCCGACTGGCCAGATCCGTAGGTAGGATGCACGGCCCCCTTCCGCACCCCCTGCAGACGTGTCTCGGGGGAGAGCTTTGGGCCCTGTACATGGCCCTGCTCAATGCGGACGTGGGGCCTCTTGAAGTTTGGACGGATTGCAAGGTGCTGATTGAAATTTGGAGCTTTGGCCCAGACCAGGATGCGTCGCGCTTGGCGCCTGCTGAGGTTTGGGCGAAAGTCTTGGCCAAAGCTCGAGATATAGGCTGGAGCCAGACCCAGCTTTTTTACCTAACAGCGAAGACTGATAGGTTTCTAGTGGTCTCAAAAGAGCTCACAGATCACTCCACAGGGGGGTCCGGGCAGGTGTTGGGGAGTTGCCGGGCGGCAGGGTGCCGGGCTCGTTTTTCACCAACAGTCACACACTTCGACTTCCCACATTCTCAATACCCGGATGCAACAGTCACACACTTCGTGCTCTTCGAGATCCCAGAACGCCATTCCCGGGCCACATTTAGAATAACCGGATGCAACAGTCACACACTTCGTGCTCTTCGAGTTCCCAGAACTCCATTCTTCCCGGGCCACATTCTGGAGGGCCGGATGCAACAGTCACACACTTCGTGCTTTCCCGTTCGAGCCAGAATTCCATCCCGGGCCCCCGTTTGAATGCCCGGAGCCAACTGTAGGCCACTTCGTGCTCTTCGAGTTTCCCAGAACTCCATTCCCGGGCCACATTTTGAATGCCCGGAGCCAACTGTAGGCCACTTCGTGCTCTTCGAGTTCCCAGAACTCCATTCCCGGGCCACATTTTGAATGCCCGTAGCCAACTGTAGGCAACTTCGTGCTCTTCGACTTCCCAGAACTCCCATTCCTGGGCCACATTTTCAGCAGGGGCAAGAGCACGACGAGGAGGAGGACGAGCAAGACCAGGAGGACGAGGACGAGCAGGAGCAGGACGAGGAGCAGGAGGAGCAGGAGAAGAAGGACGAGCAGGAGGAGGAGGAGGACGAGCAGGAGGAGGAGGACGACCAGGAGGAGGAGGACGACCAGGAAGAGGAGGAGGAGGAGGAGGAGGAGGGGAGGGGGAGGAGTACCAGGAGGAGGAGGAGGAGGAGGAGGAGGAGGGGAGGAATAGGGAGGAGGAGGAGGAGGAGGAGGAAGAGGACTAGGAGGCGGAGGATGGAGGGGGCGGGAGGTACCACGGAGGAGGAGACGCCGAGGACCACCACACAGGATGAGAGGAGGAGGGGGGGGGGGGGGGGGGGGGGGGGGGAGGAAGGGAGGAGGATGGAGGAGGAGGAGAGAAAACCAGCAGGAGGAGGACGAGCAAGACGGAGGAGGAGGGAACGGGACGCCAGGAAGAGAGGAGGAGAGGGAGGGGAGGGGGAGGACTACCAGGAGGAGGAGGAGGAGGAGGAGGAAGAGGAGGAGGAGGACGAGGAGGAGGAGGAGGAGGAGGACGAGGAGGAGGAGGGGGGGGAGAGCACCAGGAGGAGGAGAACGAGGACCACCAGGAGGAGGAGGAGGAGGAGGAGGAGGAGGAGGAGGAGGAGGAGAGCACCAGGAGGAGGAGGACGAGCAAGACGAGGAGGACGAGAACCAGGACGAGCAGGAGGAAGAGGAGGAGGAGGAGCAGGAGGAGGAGCAGGAGAAAGAGGAGGAGGAGGAGGAGGCAGGCTGAGGCTGAGGCTGTGACTGCGACTGCCGTTGCCGCTGCGACTGTCATCGCGAATGCGACTACGACTGCGAGAACAGCAGAATTCGACAACTGGATTTTCATCTGAATCTTAAGGGGAATGCTTTCAGATATGCTTCTACACATCGCTGTTAGGTTGCTTTGCCGGGATAATTAGGATCAAGGCTCATCTGTCCTGGAGCCAGGAGTACCCATTCTACGCGTGGAAAGGCAACCAGGAGGCCGATCATCTTGCGAAAGAAGGGGCCCTACTGCAAGAGCAGGCCGATCTGCTCCGCAGCTGACACAGCTCCAGGACGGAAGGAATTGGGCAGGTAGATGAGTTTTTTTGGATTGATGTTGGGAGGGCTGTCTCGGGGGGCCTCAAGGATGTCGAGCGCTGCAAGGGCAGTGGCAAGGCTCTGAAGGCCCCCCGCGATGCCCCTCAGCTCGAATTTGTCGCCAACCCCAACGGACACACGATCTGCAGAGATGGCGAGAGTTTTGTCTGTGAGTGTTGTGGATGTGGAGGCATGGGCATGTCCAGAGGTGCACTGGCGGCCTTCCCCTGCCCTGGCATCCCCGCAATTGATGCGACGGCGCAGCCGTCACACGTTCTCTGGATGGGCTCTGGACCTTCGGGGGCGGCGGCGTGCTGTCGAAGATGCGCGGCGTTCGGGGTTGTCCGCTCACGTTACTTGAAAGACAGGTGCAATCAGCACCCCCGCAATGCGGGGGCTGAGAGGTCCCTCGCCTTGCTCCTCGCGAGCAAGGACCCCAGCTCGAGGGCAGTGCTCGGTCGGAGTATTTTGGTCCAGCGCGGGAGGTAAGGTCCTCGGCGCTGGCCATATCGGCCCAGGGTGGCGTCTGAGAGAGAGGTCTGGGGCCTCTCTCTGAGGGAAGGCGGGGGAATGTCGGACGCGGTCTTTGGAGTGTTTTTTGCGGGCCTCACCGCCGAAGGCCGCGCTCCTCGTCGCCCCACGGCTGGGCGTGGCACGGAAAAGGGAGGCCTGGGAGCCGGGGTGGGGGGCCCTGGGGCAGGCTGTGAGCAGTTTTTCGACTGGCCTACTTGTAAGGGAAAAGAGTGGAGGACGAGGGGACGAAGGAAGAGGAGGAGGAGGAGGAGGAGGAGGAGGAGGACGACGATCCTGACCCTTTCGCCCTTTTCTGGTGGCCCTCATGGCATCGGCTGGGGGGCCCTGGGGCAGGCTCCGAGCAGATTTTCGATCGGGGGGGCCTCGCCCCTGGGCGTCGTGAAGGAACCGCGGCGGGCCTCCGCGCCCGGCCCGGCGCCCTCGCGGGTCGACCCGTCGGTGAGGACCACGTGCAACCACGAGGTCGAGATTGCCCGCCGTGCTGGTCTCGAGACGCTGGGTTCTTCGTGACGTCGGGTGTTGGGGGAGGTAGGGCAAGGGGTGGCCCTTAGACAAGCGCGTTCCAGGACTCGCAGAGTAGCTACTCGCAAATGGCCTGGATCCGCCGCGCGGGATCTACGATCCGTTACCTCGAAGCATACATTTCTACATATATATATATATATATAAAAAAAAGAATCCCTGCGAGGAGGCACTTTGCGAGTAGTGGAACGCGCTCGATGTACCCCCAAGGGACACCCAGCGCTCAACGCGGCAAACAATAGTGCGCTGATACAGCAGGCGACAGCGTAGCGGGCCTCTGCGTTGAGACGCAGCGTGGTCGGGGGTGCCTGCCGAACGCTCCGCGCCGCAGTGCGCCGACTACTGCCGCGCGCCAAATGTACTTCCAGCCACGCCCGATAATCTCAACCATCCTTATCCGCGTCCTCCTCCTCCTCCTCGTCCTCCTCCTCCTCCTCCTCCTCCTCCTCCTCCTCCTCCTCCTCCGCCCCCTCCTCCTACTCTGGGGAAACCGATCGGTACTGATACCGTTACTCCCCCGACCTCTCCTGGGGTGCGTTCTGACCAGGAGTTCGAGGCGAATCCAGCGGTGACGGCGAGGACCTCCCACGAGGCCCAAGAAGGAGACAACGAGGGAAGGGTAGAGGTATGGGTGCCTTTTCCTTCTGTCATCCTCCTCCTCCTCCTCCTCCTCCTCCTCCTCCTCCTCCTCCTCATCCTCCTCCTCCTCCTCCCCTCCTCCCTCCTCTCCTCCTCCTCCTCCTCCTCCTCCTCCTCCTCCTCCTCCTCCTCCTCCTCCTCCTCCCTCCGCCTCTCCTCCTCCTCCTCCTCCTCCTTCCTCTCCTCCTCCTCCTCCTCCTCCTCCTCCTCCTCCTCTCCCTGTCCTCCTCATGCGCCTCGTCCGCCTCCCTCCTCCTCCTCGTCTCCTCCTCCGTCCTCCTCCGCCTCCTGCTCCTCCTCTTTCTCCTCCCTGTCATCCTCATCCTCCTGCTCCTCCCCCAAAACGTTCCCTCGCTTCTGCGATGAGGTCAGCGCCGTGGTGCTCGACTCCCCGTTCTCGCGCTTCGACACCGTGGCCGCCTCCATGGCGGCCCCTTGCCGCTCCTGCTCCTGCGCGCATGGGGAGGAGGGATGCGTGACAGAGACACCAGGTGGTCCCAAGCGAAAGCTTTCGCACGTCCCATCTCTTCCTCCTTCCCCCTTCTTCTCCCTGCCCCTCCTCGTCCATCCTTTTTTTTCTCCTTCTCCCCACTCCCCTCCTCCTCCTCCTCCTCCTCCCTCCTCCCCCTCACTCCTCTCCTCCTCCTCCTCCTCCTCCTCCTCCTCCTCCTCATCATCATCATCATCATCATCAGAAAGAGCGCGTTCTGTGGTCGCTTGGAGGTGGAGGGTGGAACCTGACCCCCCCCCCTCCCGTGAAGGAGGGGGGGAGGAGGTTCGAACCCCACCCCCCACCCCTTCGCCCCCCCCATCCTCCCCTACTTCTCCTCTCTCCCTCTCCTCGGGCTGGCGCCTGCGTCGGCGGCGGCTGGTGGCGGCGGCGGGGACGACGACTTCCTTTTCTGGGACGGCGCCGGCGCCTGCGGCGGCTGGCGGCGGCGGCGGGGAGCGACGACGAGGACGACGGCGACGATGACGACGATGACGACGCTCCACCACCGTGCCTTGGTTTCGGGTCAGAGTCCTAATGGATGCCTCTTGGGCTCTCGTCGGAGGGCTCTCGGGGGCCTCTGAAGGGCATTTGTGCAGTCTCCTGGGCGCCTCTTGGGCGCTTCTTGGGGCCTCTCTGAGGTGGTGGTGGTGGTGGTGGTGGTGGTGGTGGTGGTGGTGGTGGTGGTGGTGGTGGTGGTGGTGGTGGTGGTGGTGGTGGTGGTGGTGATGGTTGTGGCGGTGGTGGTGGTGGTGGTGGTGGTGGTGGTGGTGGTGGTGGTGGTGGTGGTGGTGGTGGTGGTGGTGGTGTGGTTGGTGGTGGAGGTGGTGTGGAATCCTTGGGGCTGCCACAAAGCGCGCCCGTGCGAACGCTTGCCAGGGACGGGGCGGTGGCTACCCCGTTCGAGCCATGCCAAAATCCGTTTCAAGGTTTAGGGTCAGGTACCAGATTTACCAGAGCTCTCACGCATTGTGCGACGCAGGTGGCGACGGCACATGCGGCAAAACAGTGGGTTCACGGAAGGCCGCGCGGTCCAACCTCATTCGCGGCGTCGTCAAAATAGGAAAAGAGTTGTCCAAGGTGGGCTTGAAGCTGGCAAAGAAAATTTCCATCGCGCGCCCAAGCCATGATGACGCGCACAGCGCGTCGAAGGCGGCTAACCCTGAGGGATTCGCAGCCCAGGTCGCCACGCAGGCCGCATGCCTTGAAGTTGAGTTTAGTTGCGGCAGGCTGGGGCGAGCCACGCAGACGCAGCTGCACGCCAACGCGCAAGACGATCAGTGAGCAGGTCAAACGGTTCAGTCGGGCATCCAGGCGTTACGCAGCCATCTCAAGACTCGAGCGCAGTGGAGGCCGCCCAGCAGGAACGCACGGATTTCATAATCACTGAGTATTTATGCCTCATGAAGTGCATCGACGCGCGGCCGGCGAACAGGCAAGCTCACCTTGAGCAGCGACCACGGATGCGCCACGTCTGGGGCAAAGCGCAGGCGAAGCTGAAGAGTTTGGACAGCAGATGTCCGGCGAGATCGCTGCGCGGCCCGAATTCGGCCACCATGCTGACGCTCCTCGGGCGCAATTGGTGTCCCGCGCAGGCTGCAGCGTGGCCCTGCGCATCCTTGCATGGCACTGCGGAGTAGTGGCGGTTCACAGGCGCTATACACACAGGAAACAAATGGTTGGACAAAGACAATGACATTTTGCAAGAAGTCAAAGCATCAGCGGAGTTGTTGAAGATATCATAGGTAAGGATCCATTCAGATTGTTGTTGACATTAGTGTCGCAGCTACCACGTGGGAATCGATTAAGTGAGCTTCTGGTAGGCATATGAGGGTTTGGGACGAGGCCGAGAAAATATAGATGGAGGAAAGGGACATGAGGACATGAGGCGTGTGACAGATGCAAGGCAGAGAGTGAGTCAGCGCTGCGCAGATTCTGGAAGTGCGACAAGAACGCGGACGCCTTGCCGCACGCCAATTCACAGGATCTGGCCCCTGAAACACCCAGGTCGACAAGGCGGAGCGCGACTGGCTCAGGGGCCTCATCCTGTCGGGTTGGATTGCATTCCCCGAGCCATACCAGGACGCGAGCTCGGAACTCACAGGCATAAGTGGCCTTGCCCAGGGCGTCTTCGGGAAGGGAGTAGCCAAGGAGCCGATGGAGATCTTCGGAGGCGCCAGCGGAGGCGAGGACTCGGGACTGCCGCGGTTCCGCAACGTAGGAGTGGCCATCGTGCGCATCCAACTCAACGGCACGGCGTCCGGCCCGCTGTCTGGCGGCCGCCAGGTGGTGGCACGGAGAGAATTCGTGGCGCTGCACTTTGCTTCGTGGTGCACCGGCAGATGTATGAGATTTGTGACAGATTGCGAGCACGTAGCACATGGGTGGTATTCCTAACGATGTGAATTCCCAGGAGGCGAGGACGACGCCATCTGGAACTTGATAGGACAGATCATCAAGACGGGGTGCTATACGGAGATTGCGGTCCTATGGGCCCACTCACACCAGACCGCCACTGACGCGGCTGACGGTCGTGCCATGCGTCGACTGGTTCTGGGCAATTTTATTGCAGACGATTTTGCTGGGCTTGCGGCTGCCCGGCCAGACTTCCAACGGCAGATCTCACAATGGGTGTTGCTACGCGAGAGAAAAGCGCATTTGATCAGACTGCGTCTCCAGTACGCCATGCTCGGCAGCATCAAGGATCGACGGACGCGGGTCGGGCCGCGAAGGATTCCGGGACAGGGTCCCAGTGAGTGCTCTCCCCCTCCTCCCTCTCCCCATCCGCCTGCCGCTGCCGTCGCCGCTTCGTTCTCTACGCATGGGTTGGCTGATTGTCCGGAGAGGTGTCTGCAGTTCAGTCGGCCACCCTCGCAACGATGGAAGAAACCATTCGGTGTGAGTGTCCGATTTAATATAATGCTGATGGGCAATTTTCTCGCCTTCAAGGGGGCTCGGATTCATATCGCGGGGGGTTGAACCCACACTACGCACGCCTTGAATGTTCATCCGACCCTTCAGGCTTGGTTTTGCCCCGCAATAACCGCAGGAAGCATTCAAGAACCCCCCCCCCCCTTCCGGCAAATCGATAACCCTTCCGCACCCTGGAAGCGTTACCTGGCACCAGGAGCCCTCCTCCTCCTCCTCCTCCTCCTCCTCCTCCTCCTCCTCCTCCTCCTCCTCCTCCTCCTCCTCCTCCTCCTCCTCCTCCTCTCCTCCACCCACGAACTTCCTCCTGCCCCCTCCTCCTCCTCCTCCTCCTCCTCCTCCTCCTCCTCCTCCTCCTCCTCTCCTCCTCCTCCTCCTCCCGCGCCCCCCCCCTTCCCTCGGGGCCCAAGGCCTGTCAGGGCACAAGTCACCTGGGGTTTCCCCTCTGGGCCTTCTCCTGAGCAGGAGGAGGAGACGAGATGAGGAATAATCCTAGATAAATAGAACTGGATTGTTTTTTTCGCGTGGCCGGGTGCTAAGATAACGCCACGGTGCGGGGGGGGCGGGATACCCTCTCGTGGACCTCCCCCTAGGACGGCCGATGAAAATCAATTTCTAGAAGGGTTTTGAATGAGAAATCTCTTCCAAGAGGCCAGCAGATCAGAAGAGAGAAAAGGAGGAGGAGGAGGAGGAGGAGGAGGAGAAGGAGGAGGAGGAGGAGGAGAAGGATGAGAAGGAGGAGGAGGAGGAGAGGAGGAGGAGGAGAAGGAGGAGGAGGAGGAGGAGAGGAGAAGGAGGAACAAGACAAGGAACATGAACAGGAAAAGGAGGAGAAGCAGGAGCAGGGAAAGCTTCTCAGTTGTCTCTCAGCTTTCCCAGGTTTCTCAGCTTCCCCAGGTTTCTCAGCTTTCCCAGGTTTCTCAGCCTTTCCAGTTGATTCAGAACGGATCGTCGGCAGATTGTCTTGTGTCTTGCCCAGGTCAGATTGGATTCTTGATGAGATGGAAGCGTCGCTCACAAGTCTGAAGCACTGGAAGGAGAGGAGGCGATGGAGGAGGAGGAGGAGGAAGAGAAGGAGGAGAACGAATGTTTAGGAATCTCTAGGAATCCTCAGGAATCCTGAGGACCCTGTAGGAATCCTTAGGAATCCTAACATTCATGAGGAATCCCCTGGAATTTGTGACGAGCCCTTAGGAATTTAAAGGAGTCTTCTGGAATTCTGAGGAATCCACCGAAAGCTTTAGGAAGGCGCAGGAATCGTAAGGGAATCCTTAAGAATCCTAGATAAATCCTTAGGAATCCCTAGGACACCCGCAGGAATAGAACTGGAGTGTCTTTTCGCGTGGCCGGGTGCTAAGATAACGCCACGGTGCGGTGGGGGGCGGGATACCCTCTCGTGGACCTTCCCCTAGGACGGCCGATGAACATCAATTTCTAGAAGGGTTTTGAATGAGAAATCTCTTCCAAGAGGCCAACATATCAGAAGAGAGAACAGGAGGAGGAGGAGGAGGAGGAGGAGGAGGAGGAGGAGGAGAAGGAGGAGGAGGAGGAGGAGGAGGAGGAGAGGAGGAGGAGGAGGAGGAGGAGGAGAAGGAGGAGGAGGAGGAGGAGGAGGAGGAGGAGAGGAGAAGGAGGAGCAAGACAAGGAACATGAGCAGGAAAAGGAGGAGAAGTAGGAGCAGGGAAAGCTTCTTTGGGAAGGGTCCTCAGCAGGTCTCTCAGAGAGGTCCCGAAGCAGGCCTCTCAGACCTCCGAAGCAGACCTTTGAGCAGGTTCCTAAGCAGAAGCAGACGCAGGCCTCTGAGCAGGCTCCTGAGCAGGCGTCTAAGCAGGCTCCCAGGCAGGCCTCTTAGCACGCCTCGTTTTCCAGGGGCCAGGCCTCCGCGAATTTGTTTTGTGTCCGGGTGCTAAACCTATCGTTCGGTTATTTCGGCCCTTCGGAATATCGAATAAAAATGCGGTGCTAAGATATCGCCGGGGGGGTTCTTAAATGCTTCCTCGGGTTAGCCGATAAGGCTTTGAATTGGCCAGACGACGAGTACAGGTAAGGCATACGTTGACAGGATCGAACGGCCCCTAAAGTCTTGAGCCGATCCGGGCAATCGACTCGACGCTCGAAGGTCCCATGGCCCAGGTCGTCGATGCAAGTTGGGAAACCAACCTGCCTCCGCAGCGGTGTCCACCCCACCCCACTCCACTATTATTCCTCCTCCTCCTCCTCCTCCTCCTCCTCCTCCTCCTCCTCCTCCTCTGGGCATTGGCCTGGCACAGTGTTTCTCGGCGTAGGTCCGAGATGCGTGCCTAGGTAGTGGGCCTTGCAGACCAAGGCGTTGCATCAGATCCCTCAGATCCCTTCATACGATCCTTATTCTGTGCCACCAAACTGGCCGATAGCAACTGGATCAGGGGGCTCCCATCCGACCCATCAACAACAATACGACATCATTGTTGTTCGTCTCAATATGGGCATTTTATCATCGACGCTGTAAAATGCGCGACGGGAGTGCGACGCCGAGCACATCCCGCAAGAAAGGCCGACATGTCGTTTTCGTTTCGGCGCCGCGCTCATTGTTCTCAAGAGTTGACTTCCCGCTTGGACGCGGCGCACAGCTTTCGCACGCAAGCACGCCGACGTGCGAGCGGGCGAAAATGTCGTTGTCGCTTCGGCGCCGCGCAAATGTCGCCTGGAAGCGACGCTTCCGCCCCGACACGGCGCATGCTTTTATTCACTACTTTTGAGGGGCCCGCGCGAAGGGGCGACATGTCGACCTCGCCCAATCTCCGTGTACATTTCCTCTGAACGAGGCGTTTCCGCGCGGGTGCGGCGCGTGGTTCCTTCGCCGAATCGCATGGAAGCAACAGCGGCAGAGGGTGCCGACGAGAGAGCGAGAGCGAGAGCGGGACGAGAAATGCCGACCTCGCCCAAGCGCCGCGCAACGTACGAGTGAAAGCGGCAGCGCTGTGTCAGCGCGGCGTATGCTTCGTCTTCGCCGCGCCCATCGGAAATTTGAACGCGCCCTCCCTTGCGCGGCCCGCGGAATGTTTCCTTCACCACGCCATCAGAAACGGGGCCGCGCGCAAGCGCCTTCCGTTCGCGGGGTGGGAGCGCGATCCAGTCCCAACATCAAGTGGTGCCACGATGTGTTGTTATGCTCTGGGCAAGGGATCAAGGATACGCCGGGCCCTATGTTTCGCTCGATGTGGCTAAGATGCCTCTTCCTCCTCTTCCTCCTCCTCCTCCTCCTCCTCCTCTTACCTCCTCTTACCTCCTCTTACCTCCTCCTAATCCTCCTCCTCTTCCTACTCCTCCTCGTCCTCCTCCTCCTCCTCCTCCTCCTCCTCCTCCGCCTCCAACCCTCCTCCTCCGCTCCCAATCCTCCTCCTCCTCTTCCTCCTCCTCCTCCTCCTCCTCGTCCTCCTCATCCTCCTCATCCTCCTCCTCGTCCTCCTCGTCCTCCTCCTACTCTTCCTCCCCCTCTTACCTCCTCCTCCTCCTCCTCTCCTTTTCCTCCCATCCTCCTCCTCTCCTCCTCCTCCTCCTTCACCTTCCCTCACTCCTCCTCCTCCGCCCCGTTACCTTCCTCCTCTGCTCCCAATCTCCTCCTCCTCCTCCTCTCCTCCTCCTCCTTCCTCCTCATCCTCCGGATCATCATCATAATCATAACCATCATCATCATCATCATCATCATCATCATCATCATCATCATCATCATAAAGTCATCGTCAGCATCATCATCATTCATCATCATCATCATCATCCTCATCATCATCATCATCCTCATCATCATCATCATCCCATCTCATCCTCATCATCCTCATCATCTCATCATCATCATCATCATCATCTCATCATCATCATCATCATCATCATATCATCATCCTCTTCCTCTTCCTCTTCCTCTTCCCCTCCTTCCACCTCCTCCTCCTCGTCCTCCTCCTCCTCCTCCACCCCAGCCCCCCCCCCCCATCCGCCCCAATCTTCCTCCTTCTCCTCCTCCTCCTCAGCATCATCATCATCATCATCATCATCATCATCATCAGCATCATCATCATCATCATCAGCAGCAGCAGCAGCATCATCAGCCTCATCCTCATCCTCATCCTCATCCTCATCCTCCTCGTCCTCCTCATCCTCACCATCGTCCTCATCCTTCTCTTGTTGCTTCCTCCTCCTTCTTCCTCCGCCCCCAACCCTCCTCCTCCGCTCCCAATCCTCATCCTCCTCCTCCTCCTCTTCATCATCCTCCTCTTCTTCCTCCTCCTCATCATCATCCTCATCCTCATCCTCAGCCTCCTCCTCCTCTTTTTGCTTCCTGCTCCTCCGCCCCCAACCCTCTTCATCCGCCCCCAATCCTCCTCCTCCTCCTGCTCCCCCCCTCCTCGCCCCCATCCGTCTGCCACGCGCCGCCGCGGCAGGGCGTCCCCCCCCCCCCCCCTCGGGGCGCCCCGCCGCGGGAGGTGGAGACCCAGAGCCAGAGGCTGATGGGCGACGGGTGTTTCGTTCCAGGCTCGCGCCCGAAGCCAGCAGCCCCTCCTCCTCGTCACGTTTACTCCTCCGCCTCCGCCCCCAATCCTCCTCCTCCTCCGTCTCCTCCTCCTCCTCCGCCTCCTCCTCCACCTCCTCCTCCTCCTACTACTACTACTACTACTACTACTACTACTACTACTACTACTACTACTACTACTACTACTACTACTACTACTACTACTACTACTACTACTACTTACTACTACTACTACTACTACTACTACTACTACTACTACTACTACTACTACTACTACTACTACTACTACTACTACTACTACTACTACTACTACTACTACTACTACTACTACTACTACTGCTACTGCTACTGCTACTGCTACTGCTACTGCTACTGCTACTGCTACTGCTACTGCTACTGCTACTGCTACTACTACTACTACTACTACTACTACTACTACTACTACTACTACTACTACTACTACTACTACTCCTACTCCTACTCCTACTCCTAATCCTAATCCTACTCATACTCATACTCATACTCATACTCCTCCTACCCCTCTTCTTCCCTCCTCTTCCTCCGCCTCCTCCTCCTCTTCCTCCTCCTCCTCCTTCTCCTCCTCCTCCCTCTCCTCTTCCCTCCTCTTCCTCCTTCTCCTCCTCCTCCTCCTCCTCCTCCTCCTTCTCCTCCTCTTCGCGCCACGCGCGCGTCAGGCTGCATGGCGTCCCCGTTCATCGCCATGGTGGCCAGCTCCATCAAGGCCCTGGCAGGGCGTGGGTGCGAGGGCGAGGGCGAGAGCGAGGGTGCGGATTGTCGGAAGGGAACGGGTGAGGATGGCGAGAGGGAGAGAGGCGGGGGCCGCGGGCGTGGGGGAGGACGAGGGGGAGGGCGAGAACGAGGGGGGAGGGGAGGGGCAAAAAAAGAGGTGAGGCGGAGAGCGAGGGGGAGGGCGAGAAGGAGGGGGAGCGGGAGGGAGGAGGAGGGGGGGGAACGGGGCAGGGGAGAGAGAGGCGAGGGCGAGGGCGCGAGGAGGAGGACGAGGGAGGAGCGGAGTGGAGCCCCTCTCCTCTCGGGAGCGCCCTTCAGGTTGCGTGCTCCCCCCTCGAGGGAGGGGGGGGGGCAGCGTGGCCCTGTCCGAGAGCGGGATTGGTTCTTTAAAAGGTCGGCGGCTGGGTGTTGCCGCTCGGAGTTCCCCCGTCGCTTGCCTGCGCCCGACAGCCCCCGCTGCAGGAACGAGGCGGCACCAGGAGCGCCACGGGTCCGATCCGGCATTCCTCCTCGCCCCCGTCTTCATCATCAGCATCATCATCATCATCACCATCATCATCATCATCAGCAGCATCATCAGCATCATCAGCATCATCAGCATCATCAGCATCAGCATCAGCATCATCATCATCATCATCAGCATCAGCATCAGCATCAGCATTAGCAGCATCATCATCATCAACCTCCCTCCTTCTGCTCCCCACTCTTCCTTGCCTTTCTCCTCCTGCTCCTCCTCGTCCTCCTCATTGTCCTCCTCGTCATCCTCAGTATCACCACCACTACCACCACCACCACCACCACCATTGCAAGCATCACCATCACCACCACCATCATCATCCTTGTCATTATAATCATCCGCATCCTTGTCATTATAATCATCCGCATCCATCATCCGCATCCTTGTCATTATAATCATCAGACCGAATCAGCATCATCATCAGCAGCGTCATCAGCATCATCATCAACATCATCATTAGCATCATCATAATCGTCATCATCATCAGCAGCAGCATCATCGTTATCGTCATCGGCATCGGCATCGTCGCCATCGTCTATCGTATACATCATCACCAACCGCATCATCATCATCATCATCATCATCATCATCGTCATCATCGTCATCGTCATCATCATCAGCATCAGCATCATCATCTGCATCATCAGCAGAATCATCAGTAACATCATCAGCAGCGGTTTCGTCATAATCCGCAGCAGCGTCTTCATCATCAGCCTCATCATCAGCAGCAGCATCATCGTCAGCATCGTCATCATCAGCAGCAGCAGACGTAACATCATCAGTATCCGCATCGTCCGCATCACCACCACCAACAACAACAGCAATAAGATCAGCATCATATCGTCAACTGCGCCGTCATCATCCCATACATCATCATATGCATCATCACCAGCATCATGATCATCAGCATCATCATCAGCAGCATCATCGTCGTCAGCATCATCATAAGCAGCATAACCAACAACATCAGCATCATCAGCAGCAGCATCATCGTCATCGTCGTCATAAACGTCAGCATTCGCAGCATCAGCATCGTCATCATCATCATCGCTGTCACCATCATTCGTCATAGTGATTATGACCATCAGAATACATCCTCTTCTTCTTCCTCTTCCCTTCCCTCTCGTCCTCATGCCCCCTCCTCCTATTCCTCTCCTCCCTCCCTCCCTCCTCCTCCTCCTCCTCCTCCTCGTCATCATCATCATCATCATAATCATCATCATCATCATCATCATCATCATCATCATCATCATCATCATCATCAGCATCATCATCATCATCCTTTCTCCTCCCCCCTCCTCATCCTCCTCCTCCTCTCCTCCTTCTCCTCTCCTCCTTCCTCTCCTCCTCCTCCTCCTCCTCCCCTCCTCCTCCTCCTCCTCCCCCTCCTCCCCTTCCTCCTCCTCCTCCTGCTCCCCCCCCTCCTCCTCCTCCTCCTCCTCCTCCTCCTCCTCCTCCTCCTCCTCCTCCTCCTCCTCCTCCTCCTCCTCCTTCCCCAATCTCTCCGGCTGGCCGCGGGCAAGCTGGCGCCGCCCAGAGGCGGGGGGGGGTATCCCCGGCAGAAGCGGGCGGGAGGGGAGCGCGCCGGGGGAAGGGGGATGCGGCGGGGAGGATAAAGCAGTGGCGAAGCATCTTGGCTTCCGATGAGCCCACCAAAGAATGTTCTAATAACCTTTTGTGGTCTGCGCGAGATGTTCTTAGAACTGTTCTTGCTGAGTCTGTATTGGTTTAACACATCGGGCTTATGTCCTAAGAACATTGTTTTCTTATTACAGCAGTTTGGGGTTCTAAGAACACTCCATGGTAGGCCTATAGAAATGCTGGGACGGTCGGTCCCTGCTCAACAGGAGTGGGGTACAGTGGGGGAGCGCATCCAGAAACCATATGCGGTTCGTCAGGGTGTCCCGGGTTCCTTCGCTCCGCGCGCTGCGCAGTGGCTTCCCGCGGCCGTAGAGGAAATTGCTGTGTTCAGGGTGTTCCAGGCCCCCCCTTTAGGTGCATCTCGCGCGCGGGCTTTCAGGGTTTGGTTTCTTGCGAGGCTTTCTTGCGGCCGCGCCCGCACCGTAGCGGACGAAGAACGGTACATTGGAGCGTTCCAGAAAGGGTCCAGGGCTTCCCAAATCCGCAACATCACAAAAAACGTTCCGCCATCGGGGACGTGTCTCCCTGGGGCGGCGAGAAGGCCCCATGCGTACCCCTTGGGTGGCACGTCCAGGTGCATATTGTCCAGCCGCTCTGGGGCAGGCGTCCCCGCTGGCGGAGGAGTTTACATCATATCACGCTTCATCCGCGAAAGGGGGCAGGCAGGAGGGACCAGGCGAGGAACGGAGGGCGTGAGAAGACGCGCCTCTTGTCTCGGTGCGATCGAAACATTTACGGGGAGCCTGGGGACGAGGACCGGCAGCAGTTCCTGCCCAGAATGAACGGGACATGTTGTCGGCGTGGCCGCGGGTGGTGCCCACTGAGACCAACAGGTCGCCTGCAACAGCGGCCGCTGTCGTCTTTCACCACATTTGCTGCTGGGCATCCTATCCGTTTTTGTTCAGCTGCCATTCAAGGCGTGCCACTTGCTCATACCTCCTTCCTTCCCCTCTCCACCCGCTCCCACCCCCTCGTCATTCTCGCCCCCCCTCCACATGCAGGAGCCTCGGGTGCTTATTCTCTGATCCTGCCATCGCTGATCTGAGGCCGCCTCCGCGTCGACTCCATCCGCTCGTGGAAGGCGGCGACGGAGCGGTCGCGGAGGCTTGCACTGATGCATCTAGCACAGAGACCCACGCGAAGCAAGCTCGGGTAGCCCGTGGCCAAGCCAGCCCCCCCCGTCCCAGTTTGACAGTTGCGACTCCCAGGGCGGACGGCATCCCCTCCTCGGCGCCTGCCGCTGCCGCTGGCTCTTCCTCGTCCTCGTCTCCCGGGCGCCCCTCACCACAGGGGGCGCGGAGCAGTGGAGAGGCCTCCTCGCGGTGCCGCTCGCGGGCCCTTCGGGGTGGGCCCGCGAGGCGCTGCGGAGCCTCGAGTTGAGGTTCCGCCCAGGCCGGCGAGGCGACTGCCTGCAGGGTGCCTATCGCTGTCGTGTCGTGCCTTCGTGGCGTCTCGGGGGGCAGCGTGACGGGGCGGGGGGGGGGAGCTCCCAGGGGGGGGGGGGATGCATCGACCCACAATCGCCCACTCAGCGCAGATCGGGGCTTGACAGCCCACCCCGCCCAGGAACGTGCTGTGTCGCTGTCGGGGGCCTATCGCCGATCTATCCGCGATGCATCGCCTATTTCGAGTCGGTATTTCGCCCCCTGAACTGGCCCCCCATATCGGTCCCCTCGCCGTTGATTGTCGTGTCCCTCTCGTGTCCCCTTCGCCCCGGAGTGGCTGGTACGACTCCTCTTGCGTCTCCTGTCTGCCATCCATCGAGGGCCCGCCCGCCCGGCCTGGAGGACACTGCATGGAAGTGCGCAAGGGGAACGCAAGCACAAATGGAGCGGCCGTGCTTGCTGCGTCTGGGCTGCTCGACCGCTACTTGTCATCGAGGTTGGTGGCACTCTGTTGTGGCCTGCTCCCGGCGCGCGACTTCCGCGAGTTTGCCAACGGGGCGTTGCAGCCTAATTTGGTCGATGAGTAACCTGGACACTCACTCTCCACGCCCTCAGCGACGCGGCTCCCCCTCCTCCTCCTCCTCCTCCGCCTCCTCCTCCTCCTCCCCCTCCTCCCCCTCCTCCTCCTCCTCCTCCTCCTCCTCCTCCTCCTCCTCCTCCTCCTCCTTCCACCTCATTCGTCGTCGTCGTCGTCGTCGTCGTCGTCGTCGTCCCCCTCCAAGGGGGAGAGACCAGATGGCGCCGGCTGCGGGGGCCTCCGCTCCCCTGGGCGCCCCCGCCGCGTCAGGCCCTGCCGGCCGCCCAGCGGATCCCAGAGCCCCCCCCTGGCGAGGCGAGGGCCAGAGGGGGGCAAGGAGTGACGGGGTCTCGAGGAGGGATGGGGGGCGAGCAGGGAGGCGCGGAGGAAGAGGAGGAGGCGGAGGAGGAGGAGGTGGAGGAGGTGGCGGAGGAAGTGGAAACAGAGGAGAGGAGGAGGAGGAGGAGGAGGAGGAGGAGGAGGATGAGGGTGGGCTGGGCGTTCTCTCTGCGACTTCCTCATCACTTGTGATCCTTAAGTTGAATTGCTGCAGCGTGCTCACGGATGGAGGGCGGGTGGCTTTCAAAATATTTGAACAGATTGCACAGTTTTACGGGTGGTCTTCAAACTGTGGTTCTCGCTTTAGCGCCGAGCACGTCCGTCTTAACAGTTTGCATGAGCTTCACGGATGGAGACGGAAAACCCATGAAGCAAGCAACCAGGCAGCATGCGGTTCGACCAACAGTTGAACCACCAGGATAGCGCAAGGCAGCAGGCGAGCAGACCAGCAGGTAAGCGATCCCGCCCTCCGCGACGGAGCTTCTCCCCTTCGCGACGGCTCCCCCAGGGTTCCCAAGAGCTCTCCCAGGCCCGTCACTCCTTCCCCCCTCTCTCTCATCGCTCCTTGCTAGTCTCCGCTCGAGTAACTTCGGATACAGGTGTAGCCACAGACGACACGCCCAGCATTACCATTGATCGCATCGCGAGAGTGGGCCCACGCAAACCAAGGTGTAACTGATTCGTGTGAAGCCCCTCCAGTACCCGCGCGCGCGCGCCGTGGCCCCGCAAGGTCATCGCCGTGAGCGTGCTAATCCTCAGCAGCCCAGGCCACCAGGCAGAGGCCGCCAAATGGTACGCTTACAGGGCAGCGGCCCGGCCCGAAAGGCAGTTTCCATCGCCGCACTCCAGAGCCGTGGCGACGTCCACCGAGCAGTCGCTGCATGCCACGAGCCCACTCATGAGCACCAAACTGATTCCGGCACCATTTACCAACAGGATCGCTCCAACCAGGACAAGCTCAGGGGCGAGCTGATGAACCTGTGCGGGAAAAAGCGGATCAGCTACGCCATGCTGCACTACAGTCAACCCGCACAGTAAGGATGGGCAACCTTCCCCCTTGCATCCTTGCCTCCTGGGTCCATCCTTGGCCACTTTCATATGCCGCGCCCTGCTCGAAAAGCTTCACAATGGGCGTCCAGGACCCTTGCGTCCTTATCGCGCATCCTTACTACACTGGTTGATTGCACTTCCTGACGCACAAAACGGGCCCCAGCCGTGACCCACCAGGTCCACGGCCTCCGCCGACGTCCCCCAAGGCAACAGGGACCGCCCCGCACCAAAGTGGGATGCACCCGTCGCTCTTGCTCACGACAATGCGGAGGACGGCACACCGTACACCAGCAGCGTGTCTTTCCACACGCGAGAAGAGGGCAGTAGGATTTTGCTACCAAGTCGCCGACAAGACAAGCCCCCCCACGCCCTTCCGTCCTGCGACCAAAGACCAATCAACACTATTTACCCAGGAGAACAAGTCCTGATCCCTGTCCTCCGTTTCATGGCTAAGGCTACCAAGCCCACGCCAGCTCACGCCAGGACACACATACGGCGTCGCACCAGCACGGCAGGGGTCATTTACCTCCCAGTTCTCGGGGGCAGTTTCCATCAACAGCACGCGGGCCAAGGAGCGCCATAAGACGGCGAAGCTTGGCCATGCATGCAAACAGCTCGATGACAACTTCACCGACGCTTCCACTGCCATCTGTGCCTCCCTCCTCCGCACCGCACAACTACCTGAGCCCGTGGAGCTACTGGGACGTCACGGCCTGGCAGTTGGCAAACGCAGGCTCACCGCCATTTGTGGCATCAAACCGACCGATGTACCAGCCGTTGTGGCCGTCTCCGGCCAAGTGGGGATCCAGTTTGACATCAGCACGGCGCGGTATCAAGGCGGCCAACAGATCACATTCCAAGAGGCTCACCAGGCCTCCCAATGGTTCAACGCTTTCGGAACTATTCGCGCCGACAGGCGACTAGGCGTCCGCGTGAACCCCGGCGTGAACGACGCCAAGCAAGTCTCCCTCGAGCCCAGGGGAACTCACGCGGCCGGCGCATGTGCATACAAAATACCGTGTCACAGGCATCGAGGCCCTGAGCGCCACGAAAACGCAAACCACCAAAGTTTTCGCATCCATCCAAGGGCACGGCAAAGTCCAGCACACGGGATGGGGCAACGCCACCAGGGGGGATTTTGCCATCGTCAAAGCGGCCAGACCCCCGCCCAATGTCACCACCGTTCATGTTCAAGGACCCGCCATCCCGTGGACCATCACTCAGTTGGAGACCACCTCCAAGACGGACCCACCGAAAACGCCGACGGAGAAGATCGCCCCACCAGAGAATCGATGTGCCCCACCGTCGGCGGGGCACATCCCCACACTCCCTTGTAACGTTGCCCCTTGTGACCCACGGTCTGTGGGGCTGCCCCTTGTGACCCCCGGTCTGTGGGGCACAGTCCCGCACTCCGTTGTGACAAAGGCCTTTGTGACCCTCTGTCTGTGGGGTGCTGCCCCACGCTCCCTTGTGACCCTTGCGACCCTTGCGGCCCTGCCCCCCTGCGGCCCACCGTCTGCGGGGCACTGCTCCGCAGTCCCTGGTGACCCTCTGGGACCTTCGCGGCCCTGCCCTCCCCGTGACCACGGTCCGTGGAGCTGGCCCACGGATCCTTGTGGCCCTGCCCCCCCTTGTGACCCACAGCCCCTTCAGACAATGGCCACCGCGCCCCTCTTGTCTGCGAAGGTGCTGCCTCACGCTCCCTTGTGGCCCTTGTGGCCCCTGCGACCCTGCCCCCTGTGACCCCCTGCGACCAGGGCACAGCCCCACAGTCCCCGGTGACCCTCTAGGACCTTTGCGGCGTTGCCCCCCCCCCTCCCGACCCGCGGTCTGCGGGAGACTGCCCCGCAGCTTCGCGCGGCCCTGCCCCCCAAGTGACCCGCAGCCCGCGGAACACGGCCCCGCACTCCCACGTGACATTGCCATACCTGCGCAAGACGAGGAAGAGCGGGAAGGAGGAGGGGTTGGGGGGGGGGGGGGGGCGAACGCCCGGCCCGCCCCGCCGAGGGGGAGCGGGAGAAAGGCGGGGGACAGAGGGGGAACAGATGGGGCACGAGGGGGGGCTGGGAGGAGGAGGGAGGCGGGGAAGCTCCCTGGCCCCTGCCTCTGCCAACGGCCCTAAATCAATTCTGGGGTGAATCGATTCTGCAGTCTACCCCCTACGCGAATGCCCCCTCCCCAGATGGCCCTGCAGCATTCACGGTCCACGACTTTTGCACAGCAGAGCGTCCGCACACAGAGTGTCCAGCCCTGCCCTACCCCCGCGGGAGGGGAAGTCCCCCGTCATGGTCGTCGTCGTCGTCGGTCACCTCCGTCGTCGTCGTCGTCGTCGTCGTCGTCGTCGTCGTCGTCGTCGTCGTCGTCGTCGTCGTCGTCGTCGTCATCGTCCGTGGTTGGCCGTCGTTGTCGTCGTCGTCGTCGAAGAAGAAGAAGAACAATAATTGCATAAACATTGACTTTCGGAGCTCCGCGCGATTTTCATGGATCGGCGCTGGGCCCCCCTCCCTGGCGCGCGGAACGCGCTGGGGGCAGCGCCAGAGGCACCAGGGGCAGCGCAGATCCAAGAAATCCGAGCGGAGCTCCGAATGTTTATGCTTATGCCGTGTTCTCTTCATCTATCCTCGTCATCGTCCCCCTCCTCCTCGCCCGCCCTTCCCCTTCGGCGCCGAGTGGGAGGGGACGGCGGGCTTCAACCCCAGCGACCTCGACCTGGTCAAGTGCGCCGAGAGGGCGCAGGTAGCGGCTGGGGGGGCTCCCGCGTTCCTCCTCGGCGTCGCGGCCGCCGCCGCCGTCGTCATCGCCGTCGCCGTCGCCGTCGAGGTCGTCGGGGTTGCCCTCCAAAGCCCCGCCGCGGCGACGGTGCCTCGACACGGCACTTACCGCTGGCGAGCCGAGGAGACAGAAACCATTCGCGGGCGTGGTTGAATTGGGCGGCCGCGGCGCATGCGCCGGCGGACGCCTGCCGTGAGGTTAACCTGCCAGGCTGCCTCTCGGCCCCGTCTGCACCGTCTGCGCCGTCGCCGTCGAGGTTGTCGCCGTCGGCGCCGTCGTCTTGGCAGTGTGTTTCTCTCTGCTGAGGTCTCATCTGTTCTCTTTCTTTGCCGCTTGCCGCTGGCGGTGTCGGCCCACTCCCAGAGCGCAAGAAGCTCTTCTCCGATGAGCTGCATCCCGAGTGGTACTGTGACCCTCTCGAACCTGCACCCCGCGAGCCGGTCTTGCTCCTGGCCCTCGTCCTGCCCCTCCTCTTTCCCTTTGTATCCTCGTCGTCGGCCGCCTGCTTCCATCTCCGCTCCTCCTTGTACGTGTTCCCTTCCTGGTCTCCCTTCTCCTTGCTCGTGATCTCAATTTCCCCCTTTAAGGTATCCCCCGTCATCATAGTCACCACCCGTCAGCATCGGCAGCATCATTGTGTTCATACTTGTCGCAGCATCACCGTCCGCAGCAGAAGCAGCATCACCTTAGCATTCAGCGCCATCATCACCAGCATCAAAATTAAAATTGCCAGCGCCATTGGCATCGTTTCTCTTCCTCGCCATATTCCATGCCACCTGTTATCGTCCTCGTGTGTGTCCTAGCTGTCATGATTATCTGGCACACCGTGATCATCATACTCATCATCATAATCCCTATGGTCCACCTCCTTCCCCTTCTCGCTCCATTATCCTCACATCCCTTTCTCTTCGGCCTCTGTCACTGTTCTACCCGGTCCTCGTTCGCGTCTCCATCATGCTCATCAATCTCGTCCTCCTCCTCCTCCTCCTCTTCCTCCTCCTCCTCCTCCTCCTCCTCCTTCTCATGCAGCGGGTGTTCGCAGACATCTGGGCGGACATGCGAGCGGTGGTCGAGGCCAACACGTCGCGCGGGTCGGCGCGGAGGAAGTTAGCGTTGCCCAGGGGCCACGGCGCCCCGTGCATTATTGCGGGCGACCCGCTGCACGATCACATCAACTCGCGGAAGCTCTGGAGCGCCAAGAACGGCGACGCCAATTGCCTGGCGCAGACCACGTTGACGTGACGCGGCGGCTGTCTGCCTCCGAGACCCCAGCGGCGCGCGACGCGGGGGGTGGGCAGCCAGGGCATCTGAAGCGCAGGGCGAAGATTCTCCCGCGCACCGCTATGAGGAACGTGCCCGCCAAGTTCGGGCAGAAGTTGGCCGCGGCGCGCAAGCAGCGCGCACGCGCGCGCCGTCCGACTGCTCCTCTCCTCGGCGACCGTGAGGGCGTCGCCAGTATGGGAAGCCTCGTTCGTCGCCGTTCCGCCACGGGGCACGCTCGCGCGCTTGGCGCGGCTCTTCGGATGCGAGCCCCGCCCCACCATGGAGGGTTGGGCCTGGCGCTCTCGGCAGGAGTTGAAGAAGGAGGCGGCGCGCATGCACGCGCGGCGCCAACCCGGCCAGCGGACAACGATGCGCAAGCGCGGCCTCCAGCGGGGCGCCGCTCCGCTGCAGTGCGTCGTGGCCAGCGCCCGGCGTGGACGCAGAAGGTGCAAACGAACGTCCGTCGCACGGTGAGGCGCGGGCGCCTGGAGGGCCTTTGGCCTTGGCGCGTTGTCGCCCGCGGTTTGCGGGAGGCGGGCGTGCCCATGCAGACGGGCGCCGTTTCCGTCGAGCGAAGCTGGGCTTTCCTTCTACGGATGCTATGTAAGGCCCTGACGGGCATGACGAGAGATTTGAGGAAGTGTGTTGTGGATTTGGCATTTCTGAGGTAGCGTTAGACTCTCTCCACGCCACCGCGCGGAGCCTTCGCGGAGCCGCGCGATTGCGCGCGCGACTGCGACTTGTTAAAGGCATTGTCTGTTGTTTTTGCCGAGCCCGCACGACGACCTGGCAGGATAGCCCCCGCGGGGAGATCGGTTCGCAGCGCGTCCGCATTGCGGCGCCCTGGAGGAAGATGACCTCGGTCGTCGTCGTAGTCGTCGACGTCGTCGCTGGGCATCTCCCCCGCAAAGCTCCCCCAGAATGGGGGGCCCGACCCCGCCCTGCCCGACCCGACCCGACCTGGCCCGCCGTTTCGGGCTCTCGCGCGTCATTGCGATTTCGCATCAGACCAGGCCCCTGAGATCACAAACCGGGAGGCCCCTCCAGCCCCGACGCGTCAGGAACATGACCAACAAATCTGAGCGCCCCCCTGCCAGGAAAGAGAAATCCTCGCCTGGGTTGTTTCAATGACTCATCGTACTACTAGTGCCCCGCCCGGCCCGCCAGCCCGATTACTCAGGATGCAAGAATTCCCCGCCCGTTTTGGCCTGACCCGCCCGCGCGGGGCTCGCGCAAACCAGCCCGATCATTTGCCATCATGATATTCCAACCTGTTCTAGCTTTGACTACCAGAAAGAATTTCGAGCACCAAGAATGTACCGAAATTCGGGGGTTTTGACGTGTCGGGCCCTGGGAGACACTCGCCCAACACTGTTTCGACACTGTTTCGACACTTTTCCAGGTGCTCGAAATTATTCCTGGGATGTGGTCTTTATGTAAGTGGGAGCAACATCAATTGACCATCCTTTTCATGTCCGGCCCGCCCGCGCGGCAGGGAGGCAGGGGAGGAGGCAGGGAGGAGGCTGGGAGGCAGGGAGGAGGGCGGGAGGGAAGGTAGCAGGGAGGCAGGGAGGGAGGGAGGGCGGGAGGAGGAGTAAGAGGAGGAGGAGGAGGAGGAGGAGGAGGAGTAGGAGGAGGAGGAGGAGGAGGAGCAGGAGTAGGAGGAGGAGGAGGAGGAGGGGACCTGAGGTGCCAGCGTTGTTTCTCGTCGCGGACCAGGACATGCTGGTTCCCCCTGAGCAGGCCCGTGCACCGCCACTCTCAGCCGCTGCCACCCCTTTTGCTCCCCCTACTCCTCCACCTCCTCCTCCTCCTCGTCCTCCTCATCTTCCTCCTTCTCCTCCTCCTCCTTCTCCGTTTCCTTCTCCTTCTCTTCCCCCTCCTCCTCCTCTTCCTCCTCGTCGTCCGCCTCTGCTTCCTGCGCCTCCATCCCTCGTCCTTACAAAACAAAAAAAACTTCCTCCCTGTAACACCTAAAGACGTGCCACCAGGACGGGCTGGCTGTTTCGCATGAGACTGTCTCACAATTCTGCAACAGTTTCACTGATGGAGGACAGGTGGTTGTCAAGATGTGATTCTCGCCCTAGCGCCGCGCACAGTTGTCGTAAAAGTTCACAGCAGCTTCACTCATTGAGGGCGGTTCTTTTTCAACAAATGGCTTGCGCAGGAGCGCCGCGTACATTCGTTTGAAAGTCTGCAACAGCTTCATTGGTCCGTGTGGTTGAAGCCCCAGGAATGGCATTTTGGCACGATCGTGGATTATTAGACGATTGTCTTCTGATGGGCCCCATCTGATGGGCCCCTTCCCGCAATGGACGTAAAATCCTGCAGGCACCGATGAAGAGTGAGCTTGGATTTAGGACGTCTTGGAATATCGTTGATGCGTCTTGGTTTTACATGGTTCATCCTCCTTCTCCTCCTCCTGATTGTCTTTGACATCGTTATCATCATTATCATAATTCTCACTATCCGCCTTCCTTGTCCTCCCCCTCCCCAGTCCTTTGCTCTGGCGTGTGTGTTTGCTGCCGATGCTCTTCCATCTCATTTCCAAACTCAGCCAAACATCGCATGCTGAAGGGAGCTTGCGATGGTTGCACGAGACAGGGCCTGTGCCCAAGCGTTTTCTTTTGGCGGTGGGGCCACGACGACCGGTAGCCGCCACTGCAGTCACCTTGTGCGCCACAACATTTGTTATAGAAACACAGCATTGTGCCAGAGAGCGAGACGAGTTGACTCTCCTCTTTCCTCTACTCCTTCATCATCCACATGTTCCGTGACCCTATCCCCACATCATTCTCCCCCGTCTTTCCACATACCTCCTCCTCCTCCTCCTCATCATCATCAACATCATCAATATCATCATCATCATCATCATCATCATCATCATCATCATCATCATCATCATCATCATCATCATCATCATCATCATCATCATCATCCTCTTCCTGCTCTTCTTCCCCCTCCATATCCTCTCATCCCTGCCTCCTCCTCTTCCTGCTCTTCTTTCCCCTCCCTCTCCTCTCCATTCCTTCCTCCTGCTCTTCCTCCTCCGCATCCTCCTCTCTCCCCAATCCCCTCAAATCCTCCTACTCCGTCTCCGCTCTTGTTAATCCTCCGCCTCCTCTTCCTCCTTGTCCACCACCACCTCCTCCTCCTCCTCGTCTCCCTGCCAGGAGGAAGGCAGGAGGAGGGTGGGGGTAGGATGTGGAAGAGCAGGAGATCTAGGAGCCACAGTAGTTCCAGGATAGTACAGACCATGTCTCATTACATGATCTATAATCATGCTCCCTGTGCCAAGCCCCCTCCAACCCCAACAAGTTGTCCTTTCCAATAGGGAGAGGACTCACTTGAGAAACAAGCTCCTCAATAGCCATGGGCCTACCATTCAGGCAGAGCTCTCGCTTTGAAAGTGACTTGCCACCTTTGAAAATGTACATATGTGTGGGCGTAGGATGGAGGAGAAGGGACCGATGTCAAGGACCTGTCAAGCGAGAGCTTCATTTTGAAAAAGACTCGGCCCTTCGTCCGTGAAACCGTTGCAGATTTGCACGGCTCGGGCCACCCAGTATGATAAAGTGTCAAGCGAGAGCACCACGCTTTAACTGAGCCGCGCTCAATGACTTGGGCGTTCTAACTCCATGGCACAGAATTCTAGACGCTTCACGTAACCCCACCACCCCATCCAGAAACGACGCCCAGACGAGCTACTCTGATCCGGGATGTTGAGTAGAATGCACTGGAATGAGAGGTTGGGTAAGACGTCGTAACACCAGAGGGGCAGGATTGAGAAGGAATCGGAGGAGGTGCAAGAGGAGGAGGACGAGGACGAGGAGAAGGAGAATGAAGAGGAGGAGGAGGAGGAGGAGGAGGAGAAGTAGGGAGAGGGGGAGGGGAAGGAGGGACGAGGAAGGAGGAGGAACAGGCGGATGAGGAAGAGGAGGAGGAGGAGGAGGAAGAGGAGGAGGAGGAGGAGGGCGAGCAGAAAGGCCAGAGGCCTCTTGGATGCCTCTCGGAGCCTCGTCGGATTCCGTTCCAAAGCTTCTTGGGGTCTCCTTTGGGCCGTCTTAAGGGCTCTTGGCAGTTCCGGAGGCCTCTGAGGGCGTCTTGGGTGCGCCTGGGGGGCCTATTTGGAGCCTCTTAGGGGTCTCCCTCCCCGCCCGCAAGCCGTCTCGCTCACTCCCACCCGCCCCCCCAACACATGAGTAGCACACGAGCCGCCGCGTGTTCAGCGGCAGTCCTTTGCATGGACAGCTAGTGGGAACCAAAAACAGACCCCATGTGCGCGACGTGGGGGCGAGGCGCGCCAGACGCGCCACGCGCGCCAGATGCGCCACGCACCCCTTGTGGCCCAAGCGTGCCGGGACGCCCGCTGCGCCAGATGCGCCACATGATCCACGTGCGTTATGTATGCCGCGTGCTCCAGCCGCGCCAGGTGCGCAACTTTCGGGGCACGCGCAGTGCGTGCCAGGTGCGCCTGCGCATGTGGCAGTACACATCCGGAAACGTGTCGGCCCTCACCGCCCTTGTCGAAAACCGGTGCGCAATCGCGGCGGGGTGGCCATCATAACGTCTGGTCGGCTGGTACATAGAAGGCAATATGCCAGCACCCCCGCCGTCCAAACCAAAAACCAACGCACAGTGATCGCGGGGTGCCCGCGCATGATCCAGATTTTGCCTCGAAGTGCATTTTGTATTGTTGTTTGACAGGGGGGCTGGCCCTGCGCGCAGCAAGCAATATGCGGGCACCCCCGCCGCCTTTGTCAAACACACACACACACACACACAAATAGCCTGGCGAAGGACTCAACCATATACAGCTGTGAGAACCGCAATTGTAAATACCGTCTTCGGTGGAGTTCCCTCTGGGGCCACGAAACGTGTGAGGGGTGTGCCGAAATGAGCGGGGGGGCATGCGGGCGGTTGCACTGGGGCCTTCGGTGGAGCTCCCCATTGGGCCACGACATGTGTAAGGGGTGTTCCGACATGGGTATGGGGGACGCATGCGGGCGGTTGCATTTGGGCCTTGGGTGGAGCTCCCTCTAGGGCCACTAAACGTGTGAGGAGTGTGCCGAAACGGGGCTGTCGCATGGGTGTGAGGGGGACGCATGCGGGCTGCGCCACTGGGGCCTTAGGTGGAGATCCCCGTGGGGCCACGACATGTGTGAGGGGTGTGCCGATACAGGGCTGTATGCGAGTTGCGCCACTGGGGCCTTCGGTGGAGCTCCCTGTGCGGCCATGAAACGTGTGAGGGGTGTGCCGAAAAGGGAGTGTCGCCAACATGCGGGCTGCGCCACTGGGGCCTTAGGTGGAGATCCCTCTGGGGCCACGAAACGTGTGAGGGGTGTGCCAAAACGAGGGTGACGATGCTGATGATGAGAGGAGGAGGAAGTGGGAGGAGGAAGGAATGAGGGAGGGACGCGGGGACTGCCTTTTCAAAACGAGGACCCAACACCGTAGGATGGTGGGAAAAATAACAGTACAATGTGCCCGCGCCCCCCGATCATGACCCAAGAGTTTGCCCCAAAGTGGACTTCACATTGATTTTTGACGGAGATGGTGGAGGAGGATGTCTCATTGGTCTGGGTTGGCTGCCGGTCGCCTGGAGGAGGGGGTGTTTATTCATAGGGAACAGTGATCAAGCGACCTTCCTAGATAGCAGGCCTTCCAGCTCACTCCCACCTGCCCTCCCGACACATAAGTAACACCCGACTGTCAGCAGATCGCTTAGGCACGCCACACATGCCATGCGCGCCACGGCTTCCAGGTGCACCAGGCACCCTGGAGGCCCAAGCGTGCCAGGTGCGGCACATGCTCCACGTGCGCCAACTGTGCCACGTGCTCCAGCCGCGCCAGATGC